AAGGAGGATAAGGAGGACAAGGAGGATGATGAGGAGGAGGAGGAGGAGGAGGAGGAGGAGGAGAAGGATGAGGAGGAGGAGGCGGAGGATGATGAGGAAAAGGAGAGGGAAGAGATGAGGAGGAGGAGGAGGAGGAGGAGGAAGAGGAGGAAGAGGAGGAGGAGAAAGAGGAGGAGGAGGAGGTGGAGGAAGAGGAGGAAGAGGAGGAGGATGAGGATGGTAAGGAGAAGGAGGAGGAGCCCGCCCGACCCGACCCGCCCGTTAGGGTCCGCCCGCCCGACCCGCCCGATAGGGTCCGCCCGTCCCGTTCCGGCCGTTAGGGTTCTCATGTGTCACGCTGTATACGCATCAGACTTTAGTGTCCCGCCCGCCCGACCCGACCCGCCCGTTAGGGTCCGCCCGCCCGACCCGCCCGATAGGGTCCGCCCGTCCCGCCCGTCCCGCCCCGCCCGTTAGGGTTCTCATGTGTCTTGCTGTATGCGCATCAGCCTTTAGTGTCCCGCCCGCCCGACCCGACCCGCCCGTTAGGGTCCGCCCGCCCGACCCGCCCGATAGGGTCCGCCCGTCCCGTCCCGCTCGTTAGGGTTCTCATGTGTCACGCTGTATGCGCATCAGTCTTTAGTGTCCCGCCCGCCCGACCCGACCCGCCCGTTAGGGTCCGCCCGCCCGACCCGCTCGATAGGTCCGCCCGTCCCGACCCGTCCCGCCCGCTTAGGGTCCCTCATGTGTCACCGGCTGTATGCGCATTCAGACTTTAGTGTTACGACAGCCCGACCCGACCGCCCGTTAAGGTCCGCCGCCGACCCGCCCGATAGGGTCCGCCCGTCCCGCCCGTCCCGCCCCGCCCGTTAGGGTTCTCATGTGTCTTGCTGTATGCGCATCAGCCTTTAGTGTCCCGCCCGCCCGACCCGACCCGCCCGTTAGGGTCCGCCCGCCCGACCCGCCCGATAGGGTCCGCCCGTCCCGCCCGTCCCGCCCCTCCCGTTAGGGTTCTCATGTGTCACGCTGTATGCGCATCAGCCTTTAGTGTCCCGCCCGCCCGACACGACCCGCCCGTTAGGGTCCGCCCGCCCGACCCGCCCGATAGGGTCCGCCCGTCCCGCCCGTCCCGCCCCGCCCGTTAGGGTTCTCATGTGTCTTGCTGTATGCGCATCAGCCTTTAGTGTCCCGCCCGCCCGACCCGACCCGCCCGTTAGGGTCCGCCCGCCCGACCCGCCCGATAGGGTCCGCCCGTCCCGCCCGTCCCGCCCCGCCGATTAGGGTTCACTCATGTTGTCTTGCTTGTATGCGCCATTCAACCTTAGTGTCCCGCCCGACCCGACCCGCCCGTTCGGGTCCGCCCGCCCGACCCGCCCGATAGGGTCCGCCCGTCCCGTTCCGGCCGTTAGGGTTCTCATGTGTCACGCTGTATACGCATCCGACTTTAGTGTCCCGCCCGCCCGACCCGACCCGCCCGTTAGGGTCCGCCCGCCCGACCCGCCCGATAGGGTCCGCCCGTCCCGTCCCGCCCGTTAGGGTTCTCATGTGTCACGCTGTATGCGCATCAGACTTTAGTGTCCCGCCCGCCCGACCCGACCCGCCTGTTAGGGTCCGCCCGCCCGACCCGCCCGATAGGGTCCGCCCGTCCCGCCCGGGCCGTTAGGGTTCTCATGCGTCATGCCGTATATGTATCAGACTTTAGTGTCCCGCCCGCCTGTCCCCAGCCGCCCGTTTGGGTCCGCCCGCCCGACCCGCCTGCTAGGGTCTGCCCCGTCCCGCCCCGCCCGTGAGAGTTCTCGTCCTCCTCTTCGTCCTCGTTCTGTGCCTCCTTCTCCTCTGCCTCCTCCTCCTGCGTCCCCCCTCTTGCTCCTCCTCCTTCTCTTCCTTCTCGTCCTCTTTGTCGTCGTCCCTCTCCTAATACACCGCCTCATCTTTAGTACTTCGCATCGGCCTCCAGCGTTCAGTCCCCCGCGTTCCTCCTCCTCTCCTCCTCCTCCTCCTCCTCCCCCCTCCCGTCATCGTCAGCACTTTCACTGCATGCCCGACCATATCTCCTCACACCCCTCACACGGGTCGTGGCCCCATATGCAGCTCCACCGAAGGCTCCAGTGGCTGCGTCCGCATGGCACCTCCGTCCGCCCGGCCCGAGCGCGCAGGCGAAAGTAAAACGCCACAGGCCAAAAACCCAGGTCACGATTCCTTGTTTGGGCCCCAGAACGCCACAGGCAAAAACCCAGGTCACGATTCCTTCTTTGGGCTTCAGGAGCGCCACTGACGCGGAGGAGAGCAAGGGAGCACTTCCTCTACACGCGCGCGCTCTCGGCAAGACCCGGAGGCCCGACGCGCAAGGCAAACAAAAAAGCGCCACAGGCAAAAACCCAGGTCGCGATTCCTTCTTTGGGCCCCAGGAGCGCCACAGGCAAAAACCCTGGTCGCGATTCCTTTTGTGAGCCAGGCCGAGGGAAGCGGAGGAGCACCCCCCCGCCCGGCGCGCGCGCCCCGGCCAGTGCCCCGGGGACCCGACGCGAAAGGCAAAAAAAAAAACGCCACATGCAAAAAACATTTTTACCTAACAGCTTGTTCTGATAGGTTTCTAGTGGGGTCAAAAGAGAGCAGCAAATGACTCCACAGGGGGGTCTGGGCGGGTGCCGGACAGGGTGCCGCAGAAGTCGTTTTAAGCCAACAGTCACACACTTCGTGCTCTTCGACCTCCCAGAACTCCATTCCCGGGCCACATTCTGAATGCCCGGAGCCAACTGTAGGCCACTTCGTGCTCTTCGAGGTCCCAGAACTCCATTCCCGGGCCACATTCTGAATGCCCGGAGCCAACTGTAGGCCACTTCGTGCTCTTCGAGTTCCCAGAACTCCATTCCCGGGCCACATTTTGAATGCCCGGAGCCAACTGTAGGCCACTTCGTGCTCTTCGACTTCCCAGAACTCCACTCCCGGGCCACATTTTGGATGCCCGGGGCCAACTGTAGGCCACTTCGTGGTCTTCGAGTTCCCAGAACTCCACTCTCGGGCCACATTCTGGATGCCCAGAGCCAACTGTAGGCCACTTCGTGGTCTTCGAGTTCCCAGAACTCCATTCCTGGGCATGATTTTGAATGCCCGGAGCCAACTGTAGGCCACTTCGTGTTCTTCCAGTTCCCAGAACTCGATTCCCGGGCCACACTTTGAATGCTGAGGCAGGCTGATGCTGAGGCTGAGGCAGGCTGAGGATGAGGCAGGCTGAGGCTGAGGCCGAGGCTGAAGGCAGACTGAGGCTGAGGCTGAAGCAGACTGAGGCTGAGGCTGAGGCAGGCTGAGGCGGAGGCTGAGGCAGGCTGATGCTGAGGCAGGCTGAGGCTGAGGCTGAGGCTGATGCAGGCTGAGGCTGAGGCAGGCTGAGGCTGAGGCCGAGGCTGAAGGCAGACTGAGGCTGAGGCTGAAGCAGGCTGAGGCTGAGGCTGAGGCAGGCTGAGGCTGAGGCAGGCTGAGGCTGAGGCAGGCTGAGGCTGAGGCTGTGTCTGTGACTGCCGTTGCCGCTGCGACTGTCATCGCGAATGCGACTACGACTGCGAGAACAACACAATTCTACAACTGGATTCTCATCTGAATCTTAAGGGGAATGCTTCCAGATATGCTCCTACACATCGCTGTTAGGTTGCTTTGCCGGGATAATTTTACCTGTAAAGCTTTTTGTTGTTGCCTTGCGCGTTGCAGCCGGGTCATAATTGGTGAGGGAGTCTCAGGCGAGACGCCCCGCCCGCCCTAAAAACTGGCCTCGGGGCGCGACAGGGAGGAGTTATATATATATATATATATACATATATATATATACACATATATATATACATATATATATAAAGGAAAAGGAATGGAGGATGAGGAGGAGGACGAGGAGGAGGAGGAGGAGGAGGAGGAAGAGGAGGGAGGAGGAGGAGGAGGAGTGAGGAGGAGGAGGGAGGAGGAGGAAGAGGAGGCGGAGGAGGAGGAGGAGGAGGGAGGGGGAGGAGGGGAGGAGGGGAGAGGGGGAGAGGGAGGGGGAGGGGGAGGGGGAGGGGAGGCGGGGGGAAGGTGGATGGGGGGAGTGGGAGGCCGGAGGGGCGAGGCGGAGGCGGAAGGAGGAGGAGGAGGAGGAGGAAGGAGGAGGGGAGGAGGAGGAGGAAGAGGAGGACGAGGAGTGGAGGAGGGGAGGTGATGGAGGAGGTGGGAGGAGGGGAGGAGGGAGGAGGTGGAGGAGGAGGAGGAGGAGGGAGGAGGATAGGGAGGAGGGAGGAGGCGGAGCAGGAGGAGGAGGAGGGAGGGATGTAGGGATGAAGGGCGGGAGGAGGGAGGGAGGGAGGGAGGGAGGGAGGGAGGTGGAGGGAGGGAGGAGGGGAGGAGGAGGAGGAGGAGGAGGGGAGGAGGAGGGTGGAGGTAGGAGAATGAGGGAGGAGGAGGAGCGGAGGAGTAGGCGGAGGAGTAGGAGAGAAGGAGGGGTAGGAGGAGGAGGAGGAGGAGGAGGAGGAGAGGAGGAGGAGGAGGAGGAGGAGGAGGTGGAGGAGACGCCTCCCCCCTCTTTTTCTTTTTCTCAACTCTCCCTCCTCCCCCCCCCTCCTCATCATCCCTACCGCCCTCGGAGGGGAAAAGGGAGAGCAGAGCTGCTTCGCCAGAGGCGTATTCGAACAGTACGTCGCCCGGGCCGAGCCGCAGCTGTTGGCGACGCTGGAGCAGTGGCAGGGCCTGGAGCCGCTGCTGCAGGAGGAGGGCGCCGGCGCGCTGGAGTGGTTCTGGCTCCGGAGGGAGGGTGGAGCAGGCCTCGCCCTTGGCTTGCCGGCCTTCGAAGAACAACAAGTTGCATGAGTATGACCTTCCGGAGCTCCGCGCGAAGCTCCGAGAGTTTATGTTGGTGTCGTGTCGGGCTCTGAATCGCGCCACATCGCCGATGCGTCGGCGTTGCGGCGCGATTCTGCGTCCCCCACCGTTCGCGCGTTGGGACAGGTGTCCTTGGCCCCAGGTGTTCCCAGAAGATTTCGAAGGAGGCCCCCACGACCTCCAGGGCGCCCCTTGCCAAGGCCAAGAGAGCCTCCATGGTCTCCAGGAGGGAGTGAAAAGCTGGGAACACCCTGGGCCAAGGACACCTCCAGGATCCTTCTCAGGACCCCCTGACCCCGCAGCGCTGTGAGAACATTGGGCCGCATAGGACCGCCAGCACTACAGGAATCAAGCCGGGTCGGGCCAGCCGAACTCGAGATCGATTTGGATCTGTCGGATCGAAATAGAGCCTGGAAGGTGCCTCCTCTCCTGATCAGGGCCCGAGGCACGTGCGCGGGCGAGGGGCGGCCCCGGAGCGTGCCGGCAAGGGAGGAGGGCGCAGTGCAGTCTGGCAGATCTCGTGGCTCTGGCCGTGATGCCCACAGACACCTGCACGCACACGCACACGCTGCACACGCACACGCGCACGCACACGTACTTTTTGCGTCGGCGGCCAGGCAGAGTGACTGCACTGGTGGAAGGGCACATGTTGAACGAACAGTTGCGAATGAAGAATGAAGCCGCGATGCACGAGGGGAAAAGGGGAAGCGCCCCGCGACGGCGGGAAGGAGAAGGAAGCCGGGCCCGCTCACAGCGGGGCCAGGCGGCGGCAGGGGGCGGCGCCAGTGGGGGGGGGGGGGGGGGGGGGGGGGGTGGGGGGGGGGGGGGGCAGCGGCGGCGCGGCGGCAGCTGGGTGGGGCCGGCCAGCCAGGCAACCAGCGGAGGTGGGTGCCTGGGGGGGAACAGCGCCCAGCGCAGGCTGGTGTCGAAGTAGAACTCGGAAACGCAAGCCGTGGGAGCTGAGGTCACAAGTGACCTACGGGGCAACCCGGGAGCGGCCAGTGCGGGACCACCTCAAGGGGAGGGGTCGTCGGAGGGGGGGGGGCCGGGGCAAGCGGCGCCCAAGGGCAGAGCAGTGCCCAGCGCAAGCTGGAAGAAACGGGGCACGGGAGGAAGAGGCCAGGAGCGCCGAGGACGCGGGTGACCTGCGAGGCAGCCCGGGGGCAGGCAGTGCGGGACCACCTCGAAGGAGGAGGGGTCGACCTGAAAACCAGGCAAAGCGGGACAGGCGGAAGGGAGAAGCACAAGCGGCGAGGTCAGCGGAACACGCACACGCACACGCACACGCACACGCGCACGCACACGCACACGCGTACGCGCCCGCGCCCGCGCCCACGCCCGCGCACGCGCCCGCACACGCACACCCACAACACACACACACACACACACACACGCACACGCACACGCACACGCACACGCACACGCACACGCACACGCACACGCACACGCACACGCACACGCACACGCACACGCACACGCACACGCACACGCACACGCACACGGCACACGCACACGCACACGCACACGCACACGGCACGCACGCACACGCACACGCACACGCACACGCACACGCACACGCACACGCACACGCACACGCACACGCACACGCACACGCACACGCACACGCACACGCACACGCACACGCACACGCACACGCACACGCACGCACGCACGCACGCACGCACGCACGACGCACGCGCGCGCGCGCACGCACGCACGCACACGCACGAGCACGCGCGCGCGCACGCGCACGCGCACGCGCACGCGCGCACGCGCACGCGCACGACGCGTACGTACAGTACACGCACACGCACACGCACACGCAACGAACACGCACACGAACACATACACACATAACACATAACATTACACATACACATTACACTTACACCATATACAAAACACACACAACACACCGCGCGCGCGAACACGCGCGTATACGCACGCGCACGCGCACGCGCACGCCCACGCGCACACGCACACGCACACGCACACGCACACGCAGACGCACACGCACACGCACACGCACACGCACACGCACACGCGCACGCGCACGCGCCTCGCCCGAGCCCGCGCCCGCACACGCACACGCACACACACACACACATACACACATACACACGCACGCACCCGCACACGCCCCCCACACACACACACACACACACACACACACACACACACACACACACACACACACACACACACACACACACACACACACACACACACACACACACACACACACACACACACACACACACACACACACAGACACACACACACACACACATCCGCAGCCATTTTGGCTCAAGGCAATGCGCCACCCGACGACCGCGAGTCCGAGAGGGCGTTCTGAGCGCGAGGGGTCGCGCTTTGAGCCAAATTCTCGGACAACGACTGTCCTCTGGGCCGCCCTGGCCAACGTTGCTTTTTGGGGAACTGTATTGTGTGGCCCCCACGCACTCCGCACAGCTCGGGAGCAGCAATGGCGCCTGTCGGTCGCAGAGATGAGCAGCGCACCAAGTGGTGCTGCAAGTGGTGCAAGGGACGAGATGGAAAGCCATTCGTCAACTATCCCGACAAGCTGGCCTGTCACTCGTGTGCAATGCCCACGGCCGTGGCATTCAAAGGCAAGCCAGCGCCCAAGGCAAATGTTCCTTCTACTCGGTCGGGGACTAAGCCGCCTGGCAGCGCAGGTGGAAAGCCCCTTGAGAAGCAGCTTCTGGCCATGTCCAACAAGGTCGCGCTGCTGGAGAAGGAACTCAAGAAAAAGCAAACGCAGCCGATCGCTGGCGACGCGGGTACTGAGCGCACTGAGCCTGACCTGGTCGCGTGCAGCAAGGCTCGCATGGCAGAGTTGGACAGCCTCATCACGCATCTCAGCCTCACGAAGCCTCTGCCCCCTGAGATCGAGGTGGTGGTCGAAGGCTACCGCAAGGAGAAGGAGCCCCTCCGTGCCCAGGTGTTCGAGGAGAAGCCTGTCCCCGTCAAGGTGCAGGAGCTTTCCAACAAGATCAATCGGCTGGAGAAGCAGCAGCTTCGCTGGCAATCCGCTTTGGAAGAGACAAAGGCCAAGCTCAAGGGGCTCGAGGCTGAAATTGCCGAGGGCGGGGATGACATGGCCAAGTCACGTGCTCAGCTGGTGGCTATGCAGGCTGAGCGCGCCCAGCTGTGCTCTGCGCTTCCTGGCCCACCTCCAGAGCCTCCTGAGGATGACACTGGCGATCGTTACACGCTCTCTAAGATGTGCCTGGTGCTGGAGCGCATGGGCCTGGCGCACTCGCTCTCGTCGAAGGTGGGGGGCGTCGTGGCCGAGCTTCGAGAGGCGGAGCTGGCGGCGCAGCGCGCCAAGCAGCAGAGGCAGGAGGAGGCCTCGCGCGCCGCTGTCCTGGCAGGTGGTCAGGCGGCTGCTGCGGCTGCGGAGGGCGAGCCTGCTGCTGGCGCAGCTTCTGGTGCTGGTCCTGGTGCATGTGGCCCTCCAGCTCCTGAGGATGCGCCCATGGGCGACGCTGAGCTCGACAGCGCCACCACGGAGGAGCTCAGGGCTGACCTCGAGGCCTGTGGGCTGGAGAAGCTTGCGGGCGGCACATATGACGATGCTGAGCTGCGCGATGCTGTCAAGCGTTGCCTCAAGCCCCCATCTTGGCAGGAAGTCAAGCGCCGACGGAAGGCAGCAGCTGGCACCATGGATGCCTGAGACAGTGGCAATGATGATGATTCCAGGTAGTCAGAAAATCTCGAGACCCACCAGGCTGTGGATCTTGGTTCGGATGGCCAAGTCGAGCGTGTCCGCTCAGGTGCCAGTGCGCACGCCCCGTATGCCCAGGGGGAAGGGCCTGCTGTTTGCGAGGCCCACGGCGGTGGGATGGCCGATGCCCTCGCACATGGAGTTGCTGCTGGCGGCCTGGTGAGGTGCTGCGATGCTCGCCCCATCGCCCTCCCTGTAAGCCCGAGCGAGGCCCACAGCGGTGGGGTGGCCGATGCCCTCGCACATGCACGGGGTTGCTGCTGGCGGCCTGGTGAGGTGCTGCGACGCTCGCCCCGTCGCCCTCCCTGTAAGCCCGAGCGAGGCCCACCGCGGTGGGGCGGCCGATGCCCTCGCACATGGAGTCGCTGCTGGCGGCCTGGGGAGGTGCTGCGACGCTCGCCCCGTCGCCCTCCCTGTAAGCCCGAGCGGGGCCCACCGCGGTGGGGTGGCCGATGCCCTCGCACATGGAGTTGCCGAAGGCGGCCTGGAGAGGTGCTGCCATGCTCGCCCCATTGCCCTCCCTGTTTGACCGAGCGAGGCCCCACGCTGGTGGGGTGGCCGTTGCCCTCGCACATGGAGTTGCTGAAGGCGGCTCTGGGAGGTGCTGCGATGCTCGCATCGTTGGGTTGGACGATGGTGAGAAGAATAGCCAGGCTCCAGGGAGGAAGTCGCCACGTCGTCGACGACCTGCTCTGCCTGAGGATACACCGTGCACAGTGGCGGACCACACGACACGGCCTGGGCTCCAGATTGTCACCGTCAATGATAACCCGTATGGGACGCTGATGCGTTATCTCAACACGGCGGACGCGGACATAGTGCTCGCCCAGGAGACACATGCGATCGACCCCAAGCTCCCAGAGGTGCAGGCTGATGCTCTGGACATGGGCTGGCGTGGACAATGGCTGGCGGCTGCCCCTACCCCAGATGGAGGTTCGGAGGGTGGAGTGGCAGTTCTCGCGCGCACGAGCAACCAGGTAACTACGGCACCTTTTCTCACGACAGGGGAATTTGTTCCAGGGCGTGCTGTTGCTGGAGTGGTGCATGCAGGACCCGCTGGCGGACTGGTTTGGATTTCACTGTTTCTGTTCACTGGCGAGGGCCGCACGCCACGTAACCTCGCCATCGTCTGGGAAGTTTGTAAATACGTCAAGAGGGTGTCTGATGCAGGGTACCCGTGGCTCATCGCTGGA